CTCCCCCCCTCCCTCCCTCCCTCTCTCTTTCTCTTTCCTTTGAGGCAGGGTCTCCTATGTAGTTTCAGTGTCCTTGAACTCAAAGAGATCTGCTTCCAAGTTGGGATGAAAGGTCTGTGCCACTATATATGCTCAGGCATGCTGGATGTTTTGTGTGTTTAGGTTTATTTTTATAAATGTTTTGCCTGCATGTATGTATATGCGCCATGTGTGTACCTGGAATCTGAGTTCAGAGGAGGGGCTGGATCCCCTGGAACTAGAGTTATAGATGTTTTTAAGCCTCCATGTGGGTGCTAGAAACAGAACCTGGGTTCCTGGAAGAACAAGGGCTCTTAACTACTGAGCCATCTCTCTAGCCACAAGTAGAGAGTTTTAAAAAGATGAAAACTCCTAGACAGATACGGGGACATCTCTATCGCCCTACAGTCACGTCATTTCATTTCTTTTTATGACCCGATTGGCCCTCCTGGGTGTCAGTTTGAGACTCCAGGTCTACACAGTGTTAATGTGAGATCACAGGGAGTGAAAAGGCTAAAACAGGAAGACACTTATGAAGTAGCTAATGCAGATGTCCAGGAAGAGCAGTAAATATGCAAATTCGAAATGTAATTAGAACAGGAAAGGAACTTGGTAAAGAAACATGCCAATCAAGATGCATTAACTAACTAGAAATGTAAAAAGCAGTCTAAAAACAAGAGGCAAAAATGACACCATCTGGTACAATTTAAAAATGGGCGATCCCAGGGCTTTCCTCAGGGACTAGTTAGAGAGCTACATAAATCAGGGGTCAACCATTCCCACCCCTGGTGTTCCTGGAAGCCAAAATGTGCGCAAGCTATATCCCTGCTTCCCTCGAGAGATCCACCCTGAGCAAAACTGCCATGGCTGCTGTTTCTAAGGCTCTTCTTTTCCCAAGACCTACAGAACAGCCATCTCCATGACTTCCCCAACATGGCTGCTTAGCATGGGCCTCCCATCTTTATTTGGTAAAGGAACCCCACAGCAGCTAACCTTTTTTAACATTTTAATTTTAAAACTGTGTGTGTATGTGTCTGTGTGCACTCGGGCACACATGCAGAGGCCAGATCAGGACACCTTGAGACAGGATCTCTCACTGAACTTGGCACTTGACAATTTTTAGCTAAGCTGGTTGGCCAGCAGGCTCCAGTAACCTCCTGCCTCCCTGCATCCCATGCCCGCCCACCCGCTCAGCGCTATGGCTAAAGGTCTTATCCACTAAGACATCTCCCCAGCTCCAACAGTGACTTAAAACACTTAGTTTAGTTTAGTTTTGAGGCAGGGCCTCCCTGTGTAGCCCTGGCTGGCCTGTTTCTGAGTGTTGGGATTAAAGGCGTGCACCACCACCCCCAGCTTCAGCTGTATTTTTAATCATTACCTCTGTATCACTGTAACTCAATGGAAGTCAATCACAAAACTTATTAAATGTGGGAGTAAATGAGTGGCCCTAACTTGTTGTCTGACACTGGACAATACTAGCTTTTGTTTCTTACAAAATCTATAAAATAAACCAGGCATGATGTCACACACAGTGTCAGTCCTGGGAGACTGAGGCAGAAGGATTCCAAGTTAAGGAACAGCAGCTTAAGTTACACAGTGAGACTCAGTATCAAAAACTTTAAAATCTGGGCGGGAGTTCGGTCAGTGGGTAAACGTGCTTGCTCTCAAACCTCACAACCTAAGCTCAACCCCAGGCTCCATGTCCCAGAAGGCGAGAACAGGCTCCCACAAGTTGAGACCCGAGGCACGTGTATACCAAAACCCACACGCAACCAATAAATGAAAGTAAATAAAAATGAAAATAGAAAACCCCAAATCTATGGAATGGAGAGAAGTGTGCCGAATGCTTTTTCTTACAGCCGTGGAGACAGTACTGGGTAACAGGGGGTCGTGTAATTTTCAGTAAGAAAAAACAGCAAGGCTCCAGCTACTAAGCTATTATTTGGCAAAATTATTCCTGGGTTTGAAAAAAGCTTACCAAGTCTAGAAAACCTCATTTACACATGCATCCACACTCATGAACCAAAGTGCTGGAGACATGTTTCCTTCTCTCTGGGGTGAACATTACTTCATTTTATAGGTTTTGAATCTTAGTCTTAAACAACATAACAAGTGGCTGTTGACAGTTACAAAAACAAGTTCTCCTGGAGCCCGAACTGAGCAGTGCAGAGTGACAGGAGAAAACTCCTGGCAAAGAGAGGCCACTGGCGCCCTACGCGGTGGCTAAGAGCTTCAAGCAGAAGGGGACCCTTAGAGGGCAGAGTCCCGAGCAGGGCAGAGGTAGCCGGCAGATTCCAGGAGAAGAAGAGGGCCGGCCCAACAGTGATGGGCAGCTGCATGTGGGCAGGCGGGGGAGCTGCTCCCAGAGCTGGAAAACTACCAACCCGTTCAGCTGCTCTGGAGCCGTGAAGGCAAGAGCAGGGAAGCCTGGTACAGCGGGTTGTTAGCGGTGACGGCGGGGAGCCCCTACCAATCAAGACTCGCATTAGACGCCACAGTGCCCAGCAGTGCCAGGCACATGACTCTGTAGAGGTCTGCTGCAAGCACAAATCAAAAACTGGTTTAAAGTTACGTTTACACTTAAGTAAAAACTAAAGTTTTGGAATTTAATTATTAAGAATTTGCCGGGTGGTGGTGCCATGTGCCTTTAATCCCAGCACTCGGGAGGCAGAGCCAGGTGGATCTCTGTGAGTTCGAGGTCAGCCTGGGCTACAGAGTGAGTTCCAGGAAAGGCACAAAGCTACACAGAGAAACCCTGCCTCGAAAAACCAAAAAACCAAAAAAAAAAAAAAAAAAAAAAAGAATTAGGCACTGGCGTGCTCAGCAATAGAGCGTTGCCTAGCACATATAAGACTCTGTGATCTACCCCCAACACAAACAAATAAATAAACCAAAAATGCGCTGTAATTTTTTACTTACAGTAATCCCAGCACTTGAGAGAGAGGGGGGCAGGAGGATCAAGAGTTCGAGGCTACCTCAAATGTTGAGATCCCGTCTCAAACCAGGGAGAGGAACATCCCCACTTCCCCAGTGTAAGCAGGCTCAGAAAGACAGAGTAGACCCAGGGGGCTGGTGAGCCTGAGGCCCCTCCCCAGATCCGCCCACCGTGACTCCTGAGGCCCCGCCCCAGATCCGCCCACCGTGACTTCGGCTCCCTTCCCGGGAGAGCAGGACACCTGCTATAGCTTTTCTTTGTTTTTCTAGCCTTACTTTTGTATTTATCTTTTCTTCCCAGGATTTTTAAAATTTTTCTTATTAAACCAAGGACAACAGTCATCTTTCCTTGCTTTAATTTTTCTATTTAATAGCTCAAAAACTCATCTAGTACCTCCCGGTGTCATTATTTTGAAACTTTACTCTGTTAAGTCTGTTTCTAATCATTTAAAATGTATGCTGATACACTAAAGGGACAGTGAGCACACACCAGGCTTCCTTTTCTGTGGGTATGGGGAGAAAGATTCCCTGACTCAAGTGCGACCAGTCTTGTCTTCATCTGAGTCCACGAGAATGCTAAACTGAGCTCACAAGGCTGAAAAGGGAAAAGAGCATCCAGAACCACGCCTGTGTCTAGTCTAGAGGCAGACAGGGCAGCTTCCTGAACCGTGAACGCAGCCATGACTGAAGCCATCCGATTCAACAAGCATGAGTAACTTAACAGTTAACGTTTATGTTAATGGAAACATTCCCCTGGAGCTTAGAACCGGAGAACATTCATAAAAACAAAGCAGCACTTTGCACAGGTGAGAATTCGTCTTACTCTTTACTTCCTCCCGGCCTTACCTCTGCGATCTCTATCTTCTTGGCCAGATCATCAAGGGAGAGTGAGCCCTCATCAGGAGGCAGGGTCTCCTGGAGACTGTAGGACGCCTCTTCAGGAGAAAGGTCTTGGAGGAGGTCCGAGTCGTCGTCGTCCTGGATATCTTCATAGGAAAGGGACTCGTCAGCATCTTTTAAGCATCCTTCCAACAGGCTGTTCAGATAGTCTTCGGTTTCCTTACTGACTTGGTCTTCCTTATCCCGCCCTTCTTCTGGGGCCATACACACTTCTGGGCACAGTGCACTTACGTCAGACGCTTTACCGTCACCACAAAGCGCATTCTCAGAGCCAGGCTCCAAGTCAGTCTGACTCTGTGGTGACTTCCCATCAGGCTGCTGTGATTCATCTAATTCACCGCTCGGAAGCTGATCCCTGGGCAGCGCTTCAAATACACCCTGAACTGGCAGGCAGAGTTCTCTCCGGTGTGCCTGGGAATATTTACCCTCTGAAATCAACGAAGGAGGTATACTGCCATGGCCTAGCAAGAGCTGCCGCTCTGTCACTGACTCCTTGGGAGGAGACACCTTAGGGTCTTCGGCCACATCGGGGCGGTCCTCTGAGGGAGGTGCCTGCACGCAGCTGTCATCCTCACCGGCGTCCTCAGCAGCGTCTGGTCCTGACCTGCTCCTGGCCGTCTCTGGGGACTGGGTGTGGAGCTCCAGTGTGGCACTGGAGCCGCAGAGCTGCTCCGCCCCCTCCGTGTGGTCCTTCCCTGCAGTCACTGGAAGGCCCGGGGAAGCTGCCTGCCAGTCCATTTGATGAGAGCCCGGACTGCTCTCTGGGGGCTGCTCTTCATGCTGGCCTCCACCCGGTTCCATGCTAGGGCAGACTTCAATCTCTGAAGAGGAAGAAAAGCGAGCTGCTGGTGAATTCCAAACAATGCTTTGCATACACGGGTGGAGAAGGGACAGATGAGCACATGTGTTACAAAGATTGCTCTAACCCTCTCAGATAGAAATGCTATCTGTTGCATTGCAGTGTCCTTAGGTAGAACATGCACGCTGAGCATTTAGTAAACAGTATTAATGGTTCTTCAAAAACATGTTAAAATAAATGAATGACTCAGTCTTTATTATAAATGAAAAAGTTTAAATTCTGAATTTTTTGGTCTTTTACATTTAAATGAATATACTCCCTGGTCTTTCTTTCTACTGAAGTTAGAAAAGTTTTCCCTTCCACTTAAGGCAAAGCATCCTGAGTAAATGCTTTTAGGTAACCTTAGTAACAACATAAAATGTAAGTAGAACTAAATCTAATTGGAATGCACAAGAGTTTGTTCAGATCAAATTTGTAATTTGAACAAGTGCCCTTAAAAATGTGCTTTCAAAGATAACGTCTTAGTACATGGTAGCAAAAAGGACAGAAAAAGGATACATTTTGACAAGAAGGAGAAACAAGTTTGAATTTCAGCCTTTCTATCTCTTTACCAGAATAAAATCAACTTAAAACACTTTTTAAGCTCTCTTCTCTCCTCTTCCTCTTCTCCACGCACATGTCTCTCCCACAGGCCTGTGCACTCTCTATCCCTGTATTTCTAATAAACTCTTATAAGCGGAAAAAACAAAACAAAACAAAACAAAAAACAAAACAAAACAAAAAAAAAAACACTTTTTAAAAATCCTTAAGACATTAAGTCTTTAATCCCAGCACTCGGGAGGCAGAGCCAGGTGGATCTTTGAGTTCGAGGGCAGCCTGGTCTACAGAGCGAGATCCAGGACAGGCACCAGAGCTACACAGAGAAACCCTGTCTTGGAAAAAACAACAACAAAAAACTTAAGACAGTTAAAATCCTTTATGTAAGTAACAAGTGGATATTGCCCATTGGTTAACAGAGAAACATTCTTGCCTTGTTAAATGTTTCATGATGGCATATAATCCCCACAAATAAGGGTCAGAAGTGCAAGATAAATTAATAATTTTATTATTTAATTTTAATTTATTGAAACTTCAATTACTAGCTGACAGTTCCTATCACAGACCAGGCTTTTTTTTTTAAGGACCGGCTCAGAGGCCAGAGAAGCCAGAACTGGGCTGGCGGCCTCAGCTCTAAATGCGGAGGCGGCACCAGGAGTCTGGGGTTCTCCCCCAATATCAGCAAGGACTGAGAAGAGCTGGCCATCTCTGGAGAGTCCTCTATCCCTGATCTCTCCACTCTCAAGGTCTGACTGCGAGAAAACATGTGGGCAGCTGGTTCCGTGGGTTCTGTGCTGTGCCCGAGCTTACTGGAACTCCCATCAGACGGCCCCTGAGCTTACTGGCACCCCCCATCAGACGGCCCCTGAGCTTACTGGCACCTCCCTTTCAGACAGCAGGTGGAGGGCAAAGGTCAGAACAAGGAAGGCCACAGCCAAGGAGGAAAGGGTCAAGCTCAGTCACAAATTCCCGGTACCCAAAGGTTCAGAGATAGCCCCCAAACATGTCTGTAGGATTCAGAGGCTGGGGAGCACATTCCCTAGGTCCTGGTAAACCACAAGGTCAGAGGGTCACCACAGGTTGATAAGCAACGATGGCAAAATACAATGTAAGATACAAAGAGTTAAGAATTCCAAGCTGCGCCAGGCGGTAGTGGCGCACGCCTTTAATCCCAGCACTTGGGAGGCAGAGGCAGGCGGATCTCTGTGAGTTCGAGGCCAGCCTGGTCTACAAAGTGAGTTCCAGGAAAGGCACAAAGCTACACAGAGAAACCCTGTATTGAAACCCCCCACCCCCCCACCCCCCACAAAAAATTCCAAGCTGCAAAGTCGACTGGAAAGTGTCTACAGCATGGACAGTATTCTGTAAAACACACTATTTTATCAAGCTGGGGTGAGACTTCCTTCCTTGTCCAGGATTCAGTCCACACGCCTTCATAGGATGGACATTAGCAGGGTTAGGCTTGTTGAAGCCAGTGATAATCCCTGCAGTTTACTCAACCAAAGCATGAGGTATTCAGTTAGAAGCCAGAAGATCCAGGTTCTACCGAAGAATCAGGACACCAGACAAATGGCTGTAAATATGGTGCCTCAGCCTCCCCATCTATACCACAGATCACGGTGGAGGCCAAGCTGGGGCAACGGCAAACCAGGACTGGGAGGCAGTGTGTGACAGGCTCTTACACAGCCCTGCCCAGGCTGGGACTCACCAGGCAGCCAAGAAGGGCGACTCTGAACTCCTGCCTTTCCTGCTTGCACCTCTCAGTTCTGGGGTTATAGGTGTACACCACCATGTCTACTAAGTTGTAACAAGCTTATTTTACCCGTTTTTCTGGTATAAAAATGACTAGAAAAGAGACACCAAGAAGAGGGTACCCGGGACTGACACAAGGCAATATCCCCAATTTGTGTCATGACAGAAAAGGGGAGGGAGATCTCAAAATGATTTTAAAGTATCTACAGAGGAAAGGGCCAGTGGATGGCTGCAGCCACATCCATATTCTCAGGGACGCTCACTCAAAACTCCTGTCATCTCTTTTTAAATCCGGGCTCTCAGGCCAGGATCAGAAGGCTCACGATATAAATTGATAATAAAATCAGTCATCAGGATAAAAAATACCTGGAAAAATGTATTTATTTCTAAAACTTTGTAAATGCATTTAGAAAAGGAGTTTCCCAAGTCTTTTTGACTGAGGCACAAAGTGGCATAAAACATCTTAAATGGTTAAGAAACACACACACACACACACACACACACACACACACACACACACACACACACCACAGTGTATGTTAGTGCTATAAATTATCCAGATAGAACTTCTCATTATCCAGATTTATAGAAAAAGTCAGTACCTGGTTAGTCCATTTAGTAATGGTTGTTTTTTTTTTCCTTTTTAAGCAAGAAAGGATGTCTAAACATACCAGTCATTTCAGATAATTTATATATAATCTTTTTATATTCTGTTTTCCTTACTGACAATACAGAAATTATTTTGTTTTTTAAAACAATTTATATTCTATTACTTCTAGTTATCTAAAAATGGAAATACATATAAAAATGTGGGTTTTATATTTTTTATAAGTATTTGTACAAAAATCTAAATGCAAAAAAAATTCCAACACAACAATTCAGATCTAATATGTTGTGTGGTATTTTGATTGTGTTCTGACAAAGATTGTTTCAAGTCAGAGGGTGGAGCCAGCCACTAGCCGACCAAAATTAACCACAGAGGTTTGGAGGTAGACAGAGAGGACACAGGAAGTAGTAAGGCGGGGCAGAGAGAAAATCTCGGCCCTTTTGGAAGGAGGAACAGAAGAGGTAGGAGGCCACTGGTGGCTGCTCCCCGCTTCTCTGATCTTTCAGAGTCTTTCCCTCACACCCCCATATCTGACTCCTGATTTTTTTTATTGATAAATATTAATTAGCTTAACGCCTCACCAATACTTTAAAATGCCACAGGTAACAGGCCTCGTCTACTGCTCTCCAGCGTAACTGTACGGACCTGGCTCTTTGGCTGTCGCTCCTCTTCCCTTTGGCTCTTCAGACGCTGTCACCCGGGTTAAGCATTTTCTTCCCAGGGACTTTTCCACAGGTGCTATCTGAAACGTTTTTTAAAAGGAAAAAAATAGTCACAACTTTCTTGAGAAACTGTTACATTACATTAGAAAGTAACAAGTGTCCTGAGACACTTGTTCTAGAACAGTCCAGCCCCAGGCCTAAGATGCTGACACACACACACACCCCCCGCCCCCCCCAACCCCCGCCCCCCGCGAATGCTTACAGAACACCTCTTACCTTATGCTTGGACAAGAGAGGGCTGTAAAAAAGAAGAAAAACATAGTTTTAAAAGTACAGCATGCTTCCAAACAAATGTCACTGAAATGACAATAAAAAATGGAGCCCCTCTACATTCTAATATTAGCGCAGAACGTTGCCAGGGCCGAAACCCCGCCACCAGCTCACGTGGTTCAGGACAGCTATAGCACGTGTTTCCTCGGAAGCCAGTTACTACTGAAAATCCCCAAACAAGTTACATGTGCTGCTGACGCCCATAAATGTTTTGCAATGTCAGTTTGAAACAGATTATGGCAGAAGATAATTATGTTGGAATTACCCATGGACAGACAAGTAACTTTCAACTGTTAGGGTTTAACAAATACCACTCTTAACTGTATGCCAATAAAGGCATGGATGAAATAAATTCTCACTTTATTATTATCATAATACTTGGAATCAAGAAACAGCTCAAATGTCTACAAATAAATGAAATGGGTATGTAAACTGCCACGTGGTCATAGAGTAAATTGGTACAACAGCAAAACATCAAAACTGTCACTGCATGTGATAAAATGTAACCCAGAAACAATAACTGTATTCTGCATCATCCATTTGTATGAACTTACAGGCCAGGGACACCCACAGTTAAAGAAATCAGTTATGATCACAGGAGAGGGAGAGGGAAACATGGACTTCTGAGAGATTAGAATGTCCGTGTCTTGGATCCTGTTAGGAGTGGTAGTCATAGACTATGAGAGGGAAAAATTTACCAGGCTCATCACTGAACTATAAATAATGAGAGAGAATTTGGGGTACAATGATCTAAAGATACCATACTCATAGCATGTTCAAGTAAATACTTCCAACATTTGGGATACACTAACAAGTTGTGAGTTCCTTCGGGAGGGCAGTGGGAGGTGTCTGCATTGAGTATATTGAAAGTAAATAAGTTATATTTCCTTTAAAGCCTACTCTTTTAAATATAAAGATGAAAATATAAAATAGAAAGCTAACATAGGAACTTCCTAAGAATATGAGTTACAATTCAGAATCCCTGAAGACTGCAGCAAAGGTTCAAACTGCCTAGCACAGGGAAGCCATCTTCAGAGGGCTGAACAGACATTTCTGTCCAAACCTCTATCAGTCTTCCAAGGTTGGCCTCCAGGGTAGCCAGGTTCCTAAGCAAATGCCCTCTCTTCTGCATGGTTAGGCAGCAATTACTTGGGACTGTTTCATTATCAACACACAGAGATTTAGTTTACTGTCCATTATTCTGAAGAGAGGAGGACAGAGTTACCAGCAAAATGGAGTCCTTCATCTTTGTGCAAAGGACTCGGGACCTAAGCCCGGAAGTGGGCACTACTTAGACACTATCGCGCTTCAGAGCTCTGAGTGGTCCATTAAAGAATTCAGAACAAAGATAAGCAGAACAAAAAATAACAAGCTTTGTTATGAGGATGATTTAGTTTTAAAAATCCATCTCCTTGACATGAATCAAGCATTTGGAATGTACCCAGTAAATGAAGTTTTCCTTCATTTAGGTTAAATCCTACATACTGTGCTTTTTAGACTGTTCTAAAGAAGGTTACAACTTTTCTTATCACACACAAACACTGGAAAACAGCCAAAATATCAATAATCAATACACAGAAATATATATATTTAATAAAATTAAAGTAATAAATAATGATTAAAAAACAAACAGAATAAAAAGTCCTATTGTGCAACTTAGATCATTTGGCTTGCTGATCTCTTAATCAAAAAGTATCAAAATTATCAACGTGTCTAGTTAGAAGGATCCTCTGAGCCTATGGAAACCTAGTGAGGTCGGTATGAACGAGAAAAAAAGCTGAGAAAGCTGAAAATTTCATTAGACTCAGTTCAATTTCTTAAGTTGAAAACAGCAAGAAACAAATAAATGGATTATACATTTCAATACTCAATATAATGTGTATCTTCAATATTCTCCAACTTACTTTAAATAAATTATAACATACTTACTCTTTATGAGTTGTGCAAATTTTAGCAAGCTGCTCAAAATCTTCACCATTAAATCCCTTTTCTGAATTCCTCAGAGGCGTCACTGTATGTGGCTGGACAGCTTTCCATTTTGTTTCTAAATTTAAAGTATTTGTTAATCACTGGCTCTTACAAAATGCATTTAGGCTCTTCGGTAGTAATTAAACATGCAGCTACCTTCTCAAGCAACCCAAAAGTTAACACAGTTAGAAAGAGCTAAATGATGACTTCACAGTACATGCAAAGATCATTCTATAAACAAAATTAGCCAGGAGCGCATGCAGAAGAAATGAAAACAGCTTCGAGGAGCAAGACACAAAGAAAACAGCCCCTGCCTTCCCTCTCTCCTGGTGCTGGGGGAGCTCACCGCCTGCACTCGCTGGGCAGGCTCCCACCCCGAGCTACATCCCCGGCCTGTGCTTTGCAACAGTAACTTGACTGTGTAACTTCAATTCTTTCCACATGCGAAATCAGGACAATATGCTCACTCTCTAGATAGCGAGTTGTTACATTCCTGCTGATTCCCCAAGTTCCAGGTCAGTCTGTACTTACCCCACTGTTCCTGAATGGCAGAAAGATTTGCGAGCAGTTGCTCATGATACAATCGTTCAAGCTGGATGAATTTCATTGCTCTCTCATCTGAATAGAAACACTGAGGAAAATAGAAATCAAGACTATTGACACTAAACCCCACATCTGCAAAGGAATGTCCTATAGAAGACAAGAAATGTGTACCTCTGACCAAAAAAAAAAAAAAAAGCTCTAATTATTTTTAAATTTAAGCACATCTGACCCGAGGTTTCCTGGCTTTGGAGTAGGTACATTTTATTGTAAGACATGATGGAGAGGTACATGGGCTCCGCAAGCCAACAGAAAGGAAAGGCTGTACTCAAGGACTGCCTGCTAGCAGTCATGAAAGCAATATACTGGAAAGAGGACCCACAGGGCATCTGGGAGTCCGTGGTTTTCCCTAATTTCTCTCCTTAAACGACTCCCTGACTAGGAGACCCTTCAGGTAAGTGTTTCTTTCTGCCCTCATGATCCTTTACTTACTGTTCATTGGACCTTTTTTCTCATGAGTCAAAATCAGCACATGCTAAATAATGAAAACATGGCATGGGTCTGTTATAAAAATAACTCACTTTCCTAATTATCACGAAATTCCCCCCCCCCTTTTTTTACCCCCCTTTGGTTGATCTTCTTATGACCTTTTGGCTTCCCATCTGTACCACACTAACTTGCATCTTAGGAGGTTTGAGAAACACTGTCCAAATGCCCAGCTTCCTCTGGGCAATGTTCTAAATGTTGACCCAGAAAAAAGGAAGAGATGATCGGAAGGTTTAGCTTTGTGTCCTTTCCATGAACACCAAGAGGTTCAGCTCCCCCTCTCTGTCACCTTAACGATTCTAGGGACCCGGAGAAGCCGAACAACTCCTCTGCTCCCTCTAGCCAGGACTAAATGCTTCCTATTCAAAAGCTTACAGGGTCAACTTGAGAACAGTATTCTGTTGGTTACTAGTGAAACCCAATTTTTCCTTGGCATCTACATACGGCCGTGCATCATAAAACATTTCTGTCAGTGAGGAAGCATTAAAAGATAAATTTAAATTGCCCAATATTGCTGTAGTGTGTTAACATGACGTTCTCCAAACAACAAACCCCCAAATGATGCCTTTCTCTGGACATAGCCCTGCTGTCCAGCAGCTCAGACCACCACTGCAGTGAGCAGTGAAGAGTTACTATGCGTTGTTGGACATGCTCCATTATGTGCATGTTTGACTCCTGTGCTTAAGAGCAAGAGAATCTAATGGACTTAGTCTTCTTTCTCAGCAATATGTTTTCCCTATTCTCTTTAACATAAATGTTTAATATTGGTAAAGTTAGGTCTCCTTGATGAAAGCCAAATTTAGGTGGCTCTAGGGGATTTCTGGAATGACCTATTTCCTACACCTTGCTCTTTGAGGGCACACACAGCTGCCCAAACCCACCCAAACCATATGGTCTACACATCTTGTTGCACGACCTCAACTTAAAAAAAAAAGATGGGTTCTTCAAGTGTTCTATGAATTTCTGTCTGCAGTCAAGAAAAGGATACAGTCCTCTTCCTGGAAATAGGTCTCAGCTACCTATAAAGACAAAAGAAGAAATGAATATTTGAGTGAAAGGACAAGCTTGTGAAAGGAGCCAGCAAGATCTTGAAAGGTTGCTTTGATAAATTACTAACAAAAGCACTTTCACCACATTCCAAGTTCGGAGGACACTGCAGGCGCAGGACACGACCCTTAGGTCTCTGTCAATCACTCTCCGGCCTCCAGGCCACCGTGTTCTAGTCTAGCTCAGGCAGTGACCAGCGTCACTTGGTCTCTGCAGTCTAACTTAAGGAGGAGGGGGAAGCTATGGCTCTACAAAGGTAGGACAGGGTGAAAGGGTTAAAAGGACTATTCTGTTCACTATAAATTCAAGTTAGAAACGGGGTGAGGTGGCTCAGCTGGGAAAGATGTGTCCACCAAGGCCGACAACTTGAGTTCAATCCGTGTGACCCACATGGTACAAGGAAAGAACACGTTTCCTTAAGTTTCCCTCTGACCCCCACATGAGCACCATGGAACACACACACAAATAGATAAGGGCCAAAATGTCACATTACACGGGACCCGACACAATTCATTTCTAGTTTAAAAACTACCAGCTCAGAACCTCATGGGACACTGGTTTTGGTGTCTGTGTATGTTTGAGACTAGGTCTCACATAGCCCAGGCAGGCCTTGAACACCATATGCAGCTGAGGATGAACATAACTTCTGATCCTCTTGCTCCCGCCTCTCAGGTGGTTGGGTTGTAAGCAGCACTGCCATAACAGACAAGGTTATGTTGTGATGTTTTTACTGTTTTTTCTTTGAGTATGTTTGTGTGTATGTGCATGCAGGTGCATGTACTAGAGTTTGGCATGGGGTATTGTGGTAGTTTGTATATAATTGGCCCCCATAAGCTCATAGAGAGTGGCAGTATTAGGCTCTGTTGGAGTAGGTATGGCCTTGCTGGATGAAGTGTGTCACTGGCATATATGCTCAAGCCACACCCAGTGTCTAAGACCACTTTCTGTTGCCTGCAGGTCTAGAGGTAAGAACTCTCAGCTCCTTCTCCAGCACCGTGTCTGCCTGCATGCTGCCATGTCCTGATATGAAGACAATGGACTAAATCTCTGAACTGTAAGCCACTCCAATGAAACGTTTCCTTTATAGGAGTTGCTGTGGTCCTGGTATCTCATCACAGCAATAGAACCCTGACTAAGACAGTTACCTTCTGCAATTGCTCTCCACCTTTATTATTGGTATTATTTTTGAGACTGGGTTTCACTATGTAGCCCAGGCTGGCCTCAACCTCACGGAGATCCACTTGCCAACTCCCAAGTGCTGGGATTAGAGGTGTGTGCCACCATGCCTGGCCAGACCCCTTATTTTTTGACTCAAGGTGTCATTGGACTTGGAGCGCACCGATCGGCTAGGCTGACTGGCCAGTTAGCTCTGGGGACCCGCCTTGTGTTTTCACACAGATGCTGGGGGTCCAGAGTAGGTTCTCATGCCTGCCCAGCAGGCGCTTTCCCTATCACTTCAGTCCTGTCTTTATTTCATTTTCATCACCTGTGTGACTGTGTATGGGTATGTGCAAATGAGTGCAGGTGCCTGCAGAAGCCAAAGGCAGCTCAGCCTCTGGAGCTGGAGTTACAGGCAACTGTGAGCCACCTAGTGCAGGTGTTGGTAATTGAACTCACATTCTCTGGAAGAGCATTCACATGCTCTTAACTGCTAAACCATTTCTTCAGTCCCATGCCTAGACCTATTTATTTTTTGAGACAAGATATCTTGTAGCACAGGCTAGCCTAGAATTCATTATGTAGCCAAAGATGACTCTGAACTGTTGATTTTTGGCTTCTGCTTTGTGAGTGCTAATTAAAGGCCTGGTGTTGTATTGCTATTTTTAAAAAAGCCAGGCTAGCGAGGTGATAATGTTTGTCTAGCATGGTCCAGCACCATAAATACAGCTTGAGAATGTAGCTCAGTGGCAGTGTGCTTGCCTAGCATGTGTGGGGACCTGGGATCAATCCCCAGCACAACAAAAGGGAGAGAGAACGAGGGTGTGCAGGGCCACACATACACCGAACACTAGAGTCCAGTGTTAGGAGGCGGTGCCAGGAGAGGCTTCTCACTCACCCGTTTCCTTCTAAAGGATCTTTAAATGAAAACAAAACAAAACAAAACTGAATCAAGCATGCACCTTAATCCCAGCTACTGAGGATAAGGCAAAACAGCTTAAGCCCACAATTCAAGGCTAGCCTAGACACAAAGTGCCCTGTCACAAACAAACACAGTTAATTAATTAAGAATTTCTTTGATTAAAAAACTCTGAACTCCTAAGAAGTCTCCACTATATTTTTATCCTCAGTGTCGCACTTGTTTCCTTCCTACATCTGGCCTGGTCTTGCAACCACACATGTGTTGGGGCCTTAATTTTCCACTAAATGCTCTGGAATCCAATAGTATATCATCTAGCAAGTGTCTTTAGTCTAGACTCAAGAATGTACAAAAGTAAGCAAAGTATCATTTCAAACTTTAAAAGCAACACTTAATTCCTCATATCCAACTTCCCCCATCTTTCCTATGCTGCTAGTAACCTTAAGACAGAAATCAGGGCCATTACTGGACACATGCTCTCTGTTTTCTCTGGGGAGCCGCATGTATTGCCACACTCTTTGTGTCTTGGAGTGCTGCGTTTTGAGTTAGGCCGGTCCCCAGGCTTACACTCGGCAGCTAACACACCTGCAGATGAAAAGTGAAATGCATCAATTTCTTCCCACTCAATAACCATTTTAAATAGTTTCGTTTGATGCTGTCACGTTAAGTAATTGCGTTAGCACAGAGTTCAGTTTGTCTTTCCTCTAATAAGCAGCAACCTTTGCCATGGATTTTGGAAGTGCCTCGTGGGACAGTGACGGGCTACGACGCTGCAGAAGTGCGGCGAGCACTTCTTAAAGAAATACATTCATGCTCTGTGTTCAGACAGCTGTCTGGGCCAGGAAGGGAGCTTGTGGTGGAGCACTCGCCAGGCACGGTTCAAAACCCTCCCTGGCATCAATACACAGCACAGGAAAGAAGTCAATACAAAGATGATGTATTCTGTGGAGATTATCTCAGTCCGGGAACTGGAATGCCATAAGGACAATCACGTCTTAGGAGTTCTCACCATTGTTTATACTGCATACTAAACTTCTTAGTTGAGAAGCAGAATTTTTATGTAGTAAGTAGATCCGTCTCATAGTCTGTGTGCCCACATATAAATTCTCTTCTTATAGTTAGAAAAAAAAAAGAGATTTTTTTTTTTAGGACCTTGAGGAGATAAAGTGTGTATGACCAGACCAGTAAACTAAAATAATGATAACATTAAGCATAACTCGTGATACTTAAAATATTCCACATAAGCATTTTTTACATTACACTATATTGCTTTTACTTCAATTATTTTGTATGTGTATGTGTGTGGGTGTATGTCTGGTACATGTAGCAGGTTGGCAGGAATTGGTTTCCTCTTCCTCCATCAGCGTGTTCCAGGACTGGCTCAGGCTTGCTGACAAGCACCTGTGTATGCTGAGCCACCGAGACAGACAACTTTACACTTCAGAACACGTTCTACTGTTTCCTCTAGGTTTCTGGTAAAAATAAATAAATAAAGGATTTCATTTGCAGATCCCTATCTCTATTTTCCAGTACAAAGAACAATAAAGCCATAAAAGCAATAAAAAAGGAAGAACTTTGGCCAGATTTCCCACAAGAAATAGTATGTGTAGCAATAGTATGTGTAGAGACAAATTTAAGCACATTATATATTAGTTTAAGTTAAAAAAAACCAAAACTATTTTTATACAAATAAAATAAATAAAGATAATTAAATACTTGTAAATTTTCAGTCTAAACTTGGATTCTATTTTATTTTACTTTGAAACATTTTAAAGTGATCTTTTTAAGAGTCTGTTTTTTATCAAGTCATTCTACTATGTTACAGATCTATTAATATGAGCTACAGGAAACTGCTAATATTCGACCTTTTTGAAATCTCTATGGATTGAGAAAGTCTAAGCTGCATGGCTGTTTAAGGTTTGGCTTATGCAGACAAAAAAGGTTACAGGTATGTAGTATAGCAGGTTCAGACAGGAAAAAAACCTCTAGACAGTTTACAGTGTGTTCAACAATGTGTGTAGGCTTAAGAAAAAAAAAAGAAAAGAAAAAGGATATAGATAGTCATTCAATCAATCAATCAATCAATCAATCAATAAATAGTTTAAAAATAATAGAGTATGAGTTGGAGAGATGACTCAGAGTTGTGAGCCCTGGCTGCTCTTTCTAAAGGTCCTGAGTTCAATTCCCAGCAACCACATGGTGGCTCACAACCATCTATAGTGGGGTCTGATGCCCTCTTCTGGCATAAAATAAATAAATGAATAAATGAATGAATGAATGAATGAATGAATGAATGAGTAAATAAAAAACAACAGAGTCTTTAAAGAAAGAGTAAAGTACCAGGCAGTGGTGGTGCACACCTTTAATCCCAGCTCTCGGGAGGCAGAGACAGGCAGATCTCCATGAGTTCTAGGCTAGCTTGGTCTACAAAGTTGAGTTCCAGGACAGTCACAGTGGTTACACAGAGAAACTCTACCTCAAGAAACTTAAAATAATAATAATAATAATAAAAGAATAAGTCACATAGGGATGGGAAATATACGGGGAGGCTGGAACCTGTATTTTATTGTGTTGTTTTTTAATTTTTTGAATGCTGATAAGCAAATGACAGTTGCTAGGAGACATCGGATTGTGAAAGGGTCTCCTGAAATAAACCAGCCTAGAAACTTTAAGAATGTCTTAACTTTAAAATGGAACTCAAAAAACAATGCTTTGGGGAAAAGGTTGTGCTTTTGTTTCCATAGGAAAACGGAAAGCTATGGATTCCTTCAAAATTAATAAAGACTACAGGACAGGGGACATGTATGCTGATCCCTCTACATGGGAACAGCTCAGACTGGATGAGACATGATAAATCTCGCTGGCTACAGAGTCCTCATAACAGTTTGGTTATAC